TGTTTTCTGTCCCAGTACATACTCAGAGTACTGGGGCAGTTGGCAGGGAACTGAAGTCTCGATAAATAAACAAACACTGATGTGTGTGCAGTATTGCCGTTGCAGAGAAACGTCAAGGTGCTCACGAGCTGTCAGGGTGCCTGCGTGCCGCCGACGTGTCTCTCCTCTGCAGGTAGCTGCTGTCTCTTGCGGTGTAAAAGGCATATAATAAATGGATTATTGCTGATATATCCAAACCATGAATTTAAAAACGCCAGTCTTCATAGAGATGGAAAACAGTTGTTGCACCCTGGTAAAACCATCAGTGTCATGCAGTAATTGCAAGATCCAAAAAGTTGTCAGAAATTTGTGTCCTGTGCTAACTTACTCAGAGCTGTAAGAGCTGTTCAGGTCCATGGGTTTGGAGCTGCCCCTCTCCAACCTGTCCTGCTGTGCCTGGCTCAAGGCACTTCTCCTCCTAATCCAAACCCGTAAAGAGGCCTCTTAGCAGTGCCGTGGGGACTAAAGTCATTCCAGCTGTGTGCTCTTATGTAGGCAATCTATTTTCTCTTAGTTACGGGTTTTTCCTATCTAGTACAATTAAAATTCTTGGCATGTTTCTTCGTATATTGCATTTGCATGCTTGGAGCAAGACCTGTTTGATCAATCTCTGTCTTTTACAGAAGTGCTTTGAAAGGTGGTGTGGTCACTGTTATGTGTGAATTTTGCTCTCTATTTTTCATTAGAGCTATAAAATAGGTGTGTGGGCTGAACAGCATGTTGTATTTACGAATGAAATGAAAAACATTGGCTACACTGTAAGCAGCACCTGGGGATTTTGTATTTATTTTCCTGTAAACTGGCTGGACAAATAATGATGTTTGGTAATATCAGCTTGCTGCCAAAACACCTAGGCTGCATTATGGGCTGTTCAACTTTATAATAAAATTACCTGTGGAATTAATGTCTTGGAAGGAAACTAAGCATTTTATTTTCAGCACTTGGTACCATTATGCTTCCATGCAAAAGAGTAACACTGGAAAACTGTGGGAGAAGTTAAAATTTCAGACAAGAAGCCATCACAAGAAGGAAGAAAAAATAGTTGGAAGTACCTGTTAGTGGACTCTCCAAGTGCTTCTGTGGGATTGTAGCACGTACCAGCATTACTCCTGAGCTCCTCTTAAGCTTTCTTCAAAATACAAGTCTGCATCTGTAGCCAGCTGCTACTATACTCTACTGCATGCTGTTAACAGTAAGGTTGCAAGTGCTTATATGTGTCTAACTGATCTTTGGCTTTTCTGTACCTACTTCAGAGTCGTTCCTCATCAGAAAGCTGCTGTGCTGTGCTTACTGCCAGCGACACAGACACACCAGTGTCTCATGAGAAAGGAGGTGCTATTTTCCCTTGAGGATATGTTGTTAGATATATCTAACAACACATGCAAATAAAACACATAGCTGTCGGGTGCTGCTGACATTGGTATCCTAGATTCCTTTTATTTCTTGGGAATTTCCCCAAAGCAGCCTGGAGCTCTGACACCCAGAGGTGACATCGCCGCACTGGATTCTGCTGGGCACTGAGCCCTTTGCAAGGGCTGCTCAGCATCCCATTGAGTCAGGCCCCTCAGCGTGCAGTCTGCATGAAGCGGTGCTGCTGCCGTTACTTTGTCAGCAATTTATGAACAGCAAGTACACTAACAGCAACGAGCTGTGTGTTTTAATTAGCAGCTACCAAGACAAATAGTTGGTATAAGTTAGCTTGGCAGACATGCTGATGGCTACAGATGCTATGCTGAAACATTCCACCCACTTTGAGGGAGCCTAGACATCTACCTCTAAAGACACCCACCCTTAAAATGGCAATAGTAAGGAGAGGGTAATGCTGCGTGAAGGGACTTCTGTGCTAAGCAAGAGCGTTACATTCCTGGTCATTTTGAGTTACTACATAGAGAGCTTCAACTCCAGATCTCTGTATTATGTCCTATGTAAATGCTGGGGAAAGCGTGTAAATGCTGGGGAATGCGTATAAATGCCTGAAGAGACCTGTGAGACAGAATGGTAACATGGATAGTGCAAATAAAGAATCTATATGCATTTTAGGCTGATTTTGCCTGTTGCAGACCCTAACAAGGAACAGCATGTTGTTTTGTTAAGTCAAAACCAATTCAAACTCCACTGTGCTGCAGTACAACAGCTTAGCCAAATGAAAACTGGAATAAAATGTTACCCAGTCTCTATTCACCTTCTGCATATGAGTAAACCTAAGCGAAGCAGCTGGAGAGCTGAGAAATTTCCATTTGTCCTGTTTCAGCCTGGGGTAAGTGAGTGGGCTGAGGTTCTGGAAAGCAGAGTGGGGTCTGGAGGGAGGTGTGAGCAGGAAGGAGCCTTGCTGGGTGCCCGGAGCTGGCACGGAGAAGTGTTGTGCAATGGGTGCGTGGAGAGGTTTGTGTCCTGCGGATACTCTTCAGCTCTGTCAGGAATGCATCTGGAAAATCCACCCAGCTAGAGAGAGATCAATGCCTTAAATAAATAAAATGCTTTTTTTCGTGTTTCAGCTTGTGACTCTTAATGGAGGCAGCTGGAGGTTTTGTAGGAGACAGAGTACAAGACACAAGGATCCACTTCTCTTCAGCCCAGCTAAGGCTCTTTCGGAGATTTTTGTGTTAAAAGCTTTGTGCAGACATTCAGGACTAGTGTAACAGAACTTTGTAGCATCTTTTCTGACAGCTAATGCTACAAAGATGCAGGGCAGATAGAATCGTAGAGTCACAGAATCACAAATCGGTTTAAGATTTCATCTTGAATCTGACCTGTAAGATTCAAGTTTGGAGTGGGAAAAGTTCTTGTCCTTAGTTAACATTGTGAACAGTCTGAAGCCAGAATAATCCAAACACCCACTGTCAAGGTTTCAACATAGCATCTCTGCCCAGTTAAATTCACTTGTCCACAGAAGTTATTGCATTTAACTACTTGTACATGCAGATGTTTATATTTAAACCTATGTGTTTGGTTTCATACAAATACATCCAAACTGGACTTGGGTCAGTGTGTTGGGCTACCTAACAGCATGACTTCAAATATACAAAAAACAGACCCATGGATTAGATTGCATGCAGGTTCCATCTGGAAATTTGTGCTCCAAATGTGTTCCTGGGCGTATTGTTCTCCAGGTCTGGAAAGCCAAAAATGTGAGAAGTGGTTCTTGTCTTCACCCTGTTCCAAGTCCCCAGTCACAAGTCCTCTTGCTACCTCAAACAGGCCAACTAATCATTGCTCCAAAACTGACTTGTTCGCTTAAGAAAACAGATTTCTGCTTGATTAGTGATACTACATGTTTAAACTCTTTTACAAATTTATAAAAATGACCACATGCATATTTCAGTCTTATGCAAAATTTCTGTACTTAACAGTGCTTTGCTGAATCAGCAGAGACAAGGACTGGAGAATATACAGCGTGGCTCAGTTTTAAGGAGAGGCAAACAAACCAACATCTGGTTCTCCTGCCCATTGCAGAGCAGCTGAAAAAACTTTCCAAAATATTGAAAACTTTAAAACTGGTCCCTTTTTAAATAGTTGGTCAGGGTTAGCTAAAATTAGGAGAAAACTTTGAGGTGTCAAAGTAATGAGTTTGGGGTGTGTGAGGGTCTGAATCAGCTGAAATACCTGAGGAGGAGGCAGAGTAGTCTTGTCTGTTGTCTCTCTCTTGGGTCATCAAACAGAACCAAAATAAAGACCATTTTTCAGAGACTTGTAATTCAACTCTTCTTTTGTCCATTCCTG